ATGTCGACCAAGGAAATTTACGTCAAATTGGGCTCAGTATAGGATATTTGTACCTATGAAGAGCAAAGGTCTCAATGACTAGCCAATACAAGATCAGGTGATTACCACAAAGAATACCTAATAATATCATTCCATCAAAAAGACCCAGGAGTACCTGGATGAATGTCGCATGTGTGGTCGGACGATCAATGAAACCTTTCAGCATAATTTTATCAGGCTGTAGCTGTCTGAGCACCACCTGACTATAAGCTGGAACACGAACACGTGACGGCCACATCATCCAGATCCCAGACTAGCTAAAGAAGCACAGGGACTACCTCAGAAAGTGGATGCACCATACTACCAGTATTCAGTCCTGCGAAGCGGTACTAGAGAAATGAGGACACATAGATTATACTGCGGACCGCAGCTATTCTGACAGAACAGGAACAATTCAGCACAACAGAACCTGATATTACTCTTTGGGACAAACTGCAAAGAAATTTTTGTTTATTGATGTTGCAGTGTTAACTCCAGGCAAACATGCATGACAACATACCAGACTAAATCAGACAAATACAGAGAACTTGTATTTGCCGTAAAGAAACAATGCGCGAGGTGTCAGAATGAAAAAACATCCCAATTGTACTATCAGCACGACTGGCGCGTGATAACCAAAAACTCTCTCCAGATCGCTGGGAAAAAGAACTCTCCTTTGAGAAGAAGCATTATCATCGGCTCCAGAAGTCTGTTATAAATCACGCACCTGCTCACTAGTACAGCGAGATTCAATGGGAGGACATAGTTGGGTTTTGAAAGCTCATATCTTGAAATGTATTTGTTACTAGCATTTATTAAAAACCATTATATCTATGTTTACAATCTGAAAACAGTTATTTTATGTTTATTGATTAGAATGGCCTTAATTTGTTTTGAGTAGATTTTAAATATGTCTGTGTTACCATGCTTCTGATATTGTATCTTTGTGGTATCCCATGTGAAACCAAAAACTTTGAGAACAAAATAATAATAATAATAATAATTTTATAAATGATTCAAGTACATTTATTTTTCAATTCTCATTTGCTTTACATTACTTTACTTGTCATGATTGTTGGAACCCCTCCCTCCTGAAAAGAAAACAATTTTTGAGTGGCCCCATTATGATTGTAAACAGGCAAATTGTTTAACCCTACACCACTGCACCAGGTATTTCTTTAGCGCCTTATACATTCCTTTTGCCCGCTAAACCCTTTTCTCTTTTCCAACTTGTTTTCTCAAGGAAAAGCATAGGTAACTGAATTGTTTTCTTTGCATAATTTTTCATCAAGTGGGGTGCAGAACCCACTTTCAGTGGCTGCAAATATCAGAACACAGAATGATGCAAAACATGCTTGTACTTTAGAAACAGCCTATTTTTTTCTGCAGAGTTTGCTCTATTTGTTCAGTGACATCCGTTCTTAAGTTTAACCTGTTGCAATATTTCAACATTTTGAATAATGATTATAACAATAAAGAATAAAAAATTGAACTAAATGTACTTCCAATGCAAATAACATCTACAACATTCACATATTAACAAATGCACCAATTCTTTATAAAATATTATACTTTCAGGAAAAAACAATATTTACAAATATGTGACAATATTACATAAAAACATTTTTGCCTAATGCTTTGTTTTTGATCTCTTTGCAACGGGTAGAACATCCATGTATGTTCTTTCCAGTTCATCACATACTGGTGTAGGAGGAAACTCGGCATCCCAGAAACCTGTAATAAAGACACCCAAAATTATTTGAAAAATTAATTCTAAATATATAAATATATTTGTAAAGTTAACTCTGAATTTTATCATACAATTTTCTAGTGTTTTCTGTTAAATTAATGATGACAAAAGAAATCTGTAAGATTATTTTTATTTAATCAATCTTCCAATTTACAATTTCAGCAATTCAGGAAAAGGACAGTTAATACAGCTTCTAACAAAAGAAAAGTCCATCAAATCACAGAGAAATAAAGGTTTTATACTTGCATATTTTGTTGATTCATCTTAACTTTATTTCATTACTGGAATGACAATATTATTCCAATTGACAAATATTTCATTCAATGTAATTTATATTAGACTTAATAGGTATGTTCTAATAATGAATTTCCATGTAATCATATCAACATTAATCATAGTTTCATCTTCTAAAGAGTATTTTTTTATGGAAATTCATAAATAATTGACATTTTACAAACTATCACAATTTAATTTTACAGAGAAGAATATAATTGCTTCGTAACATCTGAACTGATTCAGTATCCTATGTTCCCTTACAAAGCAATAAAAATGTACTAATATAGTAAATAAACTGAAACATACCAGCTTCCACAATAACTAAAATACATTTATTTCAATTAATTCAATACGTACAATAGTACAATGTAAATGAAATCTTTATTTTTTTTATTTATTGGTGTTAATGATGAACATATCAATAAAAAACAAGTTATGAGCCTTGAAAAACTAATGAAAAGAACAAATATTATAGATTAAAAGTTTTTCAAAAGTACAAAAAAATCAAAACACTACAATATTTGATACCTCAATAAACAGTGAACCTAGAATTTAGTGGTAAAACATTTTAAAGTAAAGCAATAAATATTTCTGGGCCATAAAACAACCATGGTTTAGTGGTGACCCTTCAGGCACAAGGCAGTTACGGCTCTTCAGCCTTAGTGACCTCGCCTATCCAGTTATGCAGTATCCTCAGTTATCCATATGGTTTAGTGGTACCACTTTTGGATAAAACCCACATTTAAGGTAAGTCAGTTACTCCCAACAGCAGCTCTACAGGACACTTAATATTTTTGGACCAATGATTTCACTGTGCAACAGAGTAATAAAATTTTCTAAATTCATAGATAAAGAATGAAAAATTATTTAACAAGATAATGAATTGAAATTTAATATTATGGAGAAAAAGAGTGTTAAAAAACCACTTGGTCATGAAAAATTGTTAATTGACAATGCAGATATGTTGTGGACACATGCAAGTCAGAAAAACTTGATAAGTTGGAGAAACAATCTAAGATATCACACTTCAAATAATGATAGATTGACATTGGTGACAGTAGTATTGGAATATGTAAAAAGAAAATATGAGCAAAAATATAAGATTCACAAATTGACCTCAGTACATTGTACCTGTACAGTACTGATCCTAATAAAAGTAGGTAGAAATGTTTCAGCACCATTTCCAGTAAATAAAGGTTTACATCAGGGGTGTTGTGTAGCCCAAACTTTGTTTAAAATATATTAATATATTTCTTGGCATCTTCTTGGGGCATTGTCTCAGGGCTTCATTCACATTCTGAACGAAGCCCTCAGGTGAAGGAAGAAATGTGCTAATATGGGTATTAAAATTGGTGACTATGTCCATCTCTACACTTCACAGACCAGGTGGTTTTCGGTGAAGATGAAGACAATGCTTTATACATGCTGCGGAAATTATAAGAACAGTACTCGGACTGAGTATATGGTTATGGCTAAAGGTTTGAAACTTTATGATGGCTTGGTAGTAAAACCCTGCCAAAAATTCACTAACATCAGTACAGAAATAAACGCAAATTGAGGCAGCATGCAAGATATTAGAAACAAAATTGCAAAAGGTGGAATGGCTATAACACAACTACATCCAGTAATATGGAAAGATAAATTACGAAAGAGTGTACAAATAAAATTGTGTAAGACTCAATTTCAGAAATTTTCACAAAAGTAAATAATCTTGAAATTTACAGCAGTGAAGGTCCAGATGAAGTACCAGCTATTTTTCTACAGAAATCTAGTTTCATCCTCCTTCATATTGCCTATCTTAAAATCAGGAAGTAAAAACTACATCACTATCCCTCTATCTCAATTTTAAGTGCAATACCAAAGCTGATTGAATTCATAATCACGAATAAATTGAAACCCAAAATTTCTCATCTTCTTACTGGATTATATGTATTAATGAGAAATGAGAAAAAGGAATATTGAATCCAATCTGATTTATTACACTCAATATATTCTAAATTGCAAAGAAAATAAATGTCAGGTTGTTGGCATTTAGACAGATTTTAGAAAGGCATTAAACTCAGTGGATCATTCTTTACTTTTGTAAAAATTGAAAGCTTTAGGATTTTCATGTCCTTTATTAAAAAAATTCTCTAATTACCTTACTAATAGGACTCGATTTGTAAAATAAATACTGCAAATTCAGCTCTAAATAGATTGTGTAGGGCGGCGAATGAAATTCGGCTTGATTTTAATTTAAATATAGATATTACAGAGATTAAAAATGGATTGAAGTTAAAACTACGGAAGTATGAACAATGAGTTGTTTACATTTAGATGGTTATTCAGATTCAGTATACCAATACTAAATTGAATTTTTGAGTCTCTGTAATTCACTGAAGAAATAAAGATACTTTTTCCATTGTGACCTATACAAATACCTACACTACAAATAACCCTATCAATAGAATGACTAGAATGGAAAATGAGTCAGGTTGCGACATTTGGAGTCCGGGAGAATGTTTTTTTTACTGAATTGCTTATTTGTATTTTGAGTTATGAGTGATTTGTATTCTATAATATTCGTATTGTTTTTCTTAACTTTATTTCAGTATTATTCTGTATTTGAACAATGGAAGAAAGTATGTTATTTGTAAATAAATAAAGTTGGCCACAAGATGTTGCCTCAAGACAAACAATGAAGAAATAGCAGTTGCCAACGCAACGAGGTGGTCCAGGGATGATCGGTGTCTTCATAATCCACAGTGGATTGGCACCAACACTCCAAAGTCGAGACCAAACGCTGATTTACAATGAGTTCCAGCTCTTTGCATACTGTAACGTCGTGTCGAAGGGCCAGATGGACAACACATGTCGGAAGGCCAGCGAGGGGGCGGGGGCGGTCCTTTGGCGGCAAGCGGAAGGCCACCAGAGGTGGGCCCCTCCTCAAGGGCCCGGGTGGGCGTACGTGGCACTCGGAACGTGGGTGTCAACTGGCACAGAAGGAATTGATGGGTGAGTCCAGCCGCGGTGCAGCTGGACTCCAAAATTGCAAACAGGCCCACGTTTCGGGATGAGAAGACGCCGCCGGCATGTGAGGTCTGTCATGTGACCCCTCGCGAGGCGGCTGGAGAGCAACCAGCCGTGGGCATTCGAGTTTGAACCGAATCGCGGTGCGGAAGGCACATTTCACCCGCCAGGGGTTATCGCGAGCTTCGGCAGCGAGGTGTGGCGGTTGCCACGGGACAAAAGGCCAGGAGCGGCGCCAAGCCGCTGGGGTCTGCATCAGGCTGGGGCGGGGATGCCTCAGAGATGTACAGTGCTGGGAGTGTAGCGCGTTTCCGAGGAGTATGTGTATTGTGTAATCAAAAATGTAAATAAAACTGTATAATCAACTCCGTGTCTGTGTGTTACTCGCACCCGACGACGCCACAATACACAGCTGGTTAGATAAATGGTTTGATAATAGCTCAATGGCAATGACCAATCTTTCCCTTCTTTAGGAACTGGTCCGATGATGGCTTCCACTGGGCTGGTGTGTAGGGACGGTATGCTCTTCCGATACTGTTGTGGAGCCGGGGGAAAAATTGCATGGCTGATTCGGGAAGAAGTTGCTGCATTAAGTTGTGGATTTCATACGGGCCTGGGGTTCTAGAACGAAGTGTTGATTTGAATGGCTTCTTTTTAAAGGATGGCAATACGCCAAAGAAGTTTTGTTTTCTTCCTTACGGAAGAGGGCAGGGGGAGGGGTGACTTAGTATCCACTTGATGGATAGTAAATCACCCCCATGCTCCCCCCCACACCCACCATGGAATCCAACAAGTTTACACTCCACTGGGGTGTCAGGGTTGACATGGAGATATGGTGGGAGGACGGCACAGCACTGCCCTACCCTGGCTCCCCCTGCCCGGCCTGGAGTTCAGTAGAAGATCTAGACCAAGCCTCAGGAGTGGGTTAGCTCCCGACCATCCGTCTAGAAGGAGCAGAGGCCAAAGAAAGTGTGCTGGGACTGACAAGGTGCAGAGACCTCCCCTCAGTCACCAGGGCTCACCTGTGTTCGCAGAGAACAAGGATAGAACCCACTAGGAATCAGCAAGGTCACCCATGCCCTTCAACATGGATCGCCAGGCTGGCAAAAATATTGGTGGACATTCAGCATACAGAGAAGGGCAGTAAGGAAGAAAACAAGAGTAGTAGGAGAATGTAAACATGAAAAGAAATGCAAGATCAAAAGTGGAAAAAAGAACACGGGCCTTCTCTGCATCCCTCTCAACAGGACATACCCACGATGTAGTGACTGATGTGAAACTTGAACCATCATGGAGTAAAAGGAATGTTTGTTGTAACAAATCATGGAAGGTTCATTCATCGATAAGTTGGAGTTAAATATTGTATGAGAAGTCTAATATCAACATAGACAAGAGGTTAAACATGTTTAAGACCAAATTTGGGAACATACATTTTTTGTTATCACAAAGAATCTTAAAGTTCATAATTTCAATATCATAATTATCGATTTTCATTTTAATTTTAATTGTTTAATTAGTTCTTTAACTTAAGAGTGTTGTCACAGAATATGTGAAATGTAGAAAGTGAAGACACAGATGTATCATCTGATCAAAACTAGTATGTAAAGAACTCAGCCAAGAATCAGATTGAGAGAGATTAGAAACAATAATAAACATTATTAAAAAACTTCATAGATTTTCTTTTCAATTAAGCAATTGAATTGTTTTCATTATTAATTATTTCATTAAAAATCTGCTGTTTTTCCATAAGCCTGTCAACATCATAGAGCATTCACTCACCTGGAGGAGTTCTTGGTCGGGCAGGATGCTTGTCTCTATGTCTTGAACATCGATCCATTATTTTTTTACGTTCCTCCTCAGTTATATCACCACCTCCAGCAGCTTCAAAATACTGGAATAAGTTATTTTGCTTATGAACCATGGTCTTGGTAGGTAGAATAAGACAAAAATAAATGAATTTAATGTTCCTGAAAACCATCAAATTCACCCACCCACAAAAAAACAATCACCTTCATATGTCTGATAATGACTATTGTTTTAGAGATAACCTCAATTAATCAAATCTTGCATATCTAAAGGCAATTTTTCATCACTTAGTACAGTTTATAGACTTCATAAATGAAGTAATAACAACTCAAAATCTGTTAGTCAGGCCCCTCAGCATCAGATGAAGTTAGAAATAGTCAAATAGTGAGAAAGGTATTCCCTACAAAGGCAAAGAAAACCGAAAAAGTGCAAAGGCAGATACCCAAAATTCCTAGAAATCTATGTCAATTTGATTACAAAGGAAGATGCTGAGAAATATCACTTTTGACATTAGTCTGAGAAGAAGGTAATTTTTTTTCCCCGCATATAGACCAAGTCTGACAATGTGAGCAAAGAGGGATGTTCAACATTTTAGCTTAATCCCGAATTTTATCGCCCAAGGTTGTTAGCCCTGGGTTTACGGATAATGAGATGATTGCGATCGTGAGAGATGAAGGACTGCATACACATATAGACATACGCAAATACACCCATGCCCGAGGCAGGTCTCAAACCCATGGTCTTCTGGACCAAGACGACTATGGCACTACTGCCCTAATGATCTCTGCCATCTGATCAGCCCGTAGGGGTGATATATTACAGAAATGTTTAAGATTTTGAATGGATATTATAAAAATCCTGAATTCAATTTTTTTTTTTAAGTGCCATGGAACCTAGGCTTCAAGGACATACAATGTAGTTGATGAAGGAAAAAACTAGGGTAGGACAACTTGTTTCCCGGATTGTAAACGCATGGAAAGAACTTTCGGCTGACTACATTCAAAAGGAAATCGCCTTCCAGAAGAGCCTGAATAGTCATTAATTTTGTGATTAACTGAATTAAACAGGGGCAGATCCAGAGACAAAAAACACACACGCGTGCATACTAAATTCAGAATATAATGGCTAAACCTACAGCTGTATGGCTCTGAGATATGGATAATGAAAGAGAGAAACAAATAAAAAATACAAGTAGCAGATGTGAGATTTCTGAGACACCTGGTAAGAGTTAAAAGAAGAGACAGACTGAGAAACAAAGACATTAGAAAGAAACTAAAAACTAAACACATGGTAGAGGTAATAGAAAACTCTCAAAGAAAATGCCAAGATCACCATAAAAGAATGAACAGATGGCCAAAACTAATATGGAAATATCAAACCAGCAGGGAATAGAGACATTGGAAGACCACGAAAAAAAGTGACAACAGCAGGAACATCTGGATGACTAACTACCAGGAATACTGCATAAAAGTCATGGTTTTTGTCACTGCCCTCATCATCTTCACATGTATCAACGTTTCTTTCTTTTTGTTTTGTTTGTGAAAGTTTCGCACATTGAATTTGCATTGTTCTTAGTCTTTTATCACACACCACTTATTCCCTTTGCTGTCACCAGATTTTCTATCTGTCCCACACTTGTTGACAGCCTCTGTTTCTTTAACAGCCCTTTCACATTCTTTAACAGAATAAATTGGAAATTAGCATTTGTTTTGTGTGATCAAGTTGTGAATTGCAAAATTGTACATCTCAGTCCCTCCGGTTCGTGGGTAAAATGCCCAGACCGCAGTAAGCTTCCTCACACACTCAACAATCACCTTACTCAAAGCATCATTTGGGTAACAACATGAGCCAGAAGAAGTTTCAAATGATCCAGTTATATCATTCATAAAGCTTTATTCACACAATCTGGCTAGTATATGAATTAACCAACAACTTCTAACATCAGCCATATTTTGGACTCAAGCCTTTATGTCAGTCATTTTAAGTTGGCCAGTTTTCCACAGGATGGGAAATTTTCTACTTACTTTTCGACAATTCTCACAATCCCAACCAGATAGCTGTTGTCTTTCACTTTTCTTCCTCACAGTTGCACCCCGATATTTATATTTTGGACTTTCCTCTCCTTTCTTCAAACTGCAAAGACAATAATGAATTATTACCAAAATATAAAAATTAGTAGATGAAAAATAAATATCATAAAAAAAGAATAAAACATTACCAGTCAAAGCTATCATTAACATCTTTCGCTTCTCGTATTTCATTTAATGAAGAAGAAGCATTCCGTATACCAGAAGTACAAGGTTTCTGTGGCATTGCATTAGATCTTGGTACACTAGTGGCAGCTACATCAAAAGATAATTTCCTTCCTGAATTAAAAAGCCTGAAATCATGCAAGAGATGGTTTAACAATCCAAACTACCACAATTTATTTTTTTTAATTGACAGAACTAATGAATAGCAAGATCTAATAGCCAAATACACTTTATGATTTCAAAAAACTTAGCAAACACCTACGCCTGTATGCTAAAAAAAGAAACAAATCTGAGTGTAACTAAGAACAGTTAATTGAAGTACAAGAATTTTTTACTTCTATTGATGCTCCTTTTCTTTCTACACTTATCCTCTAATCTTACAGTTCCAGTGGTTAAATTTGTTCTCTGGTAGCAAGTTTAAGTTCTGCTTCTATTCACTGTACCTAAATTACATCTACTTATTCAAAAGAATATTAAAATATTTCGGAAAGCAAAAATATCTGAACCACGGTGTCATTATCATAAAATAATTTACACAGTTAAAGATGAAGTAAATCAGAAATATTATAAAGAAATTATATATAATTATAAAAAATATATTATAAATAACATTTATAAGAAGATATTATTATAAAGAAATATATATCAAGTCAAAATAAGAATTCCATTAATCCATTAATAGTGTACAATAATACAATAAATTAATATTTTCATTTTTGACACACACCTTCCTCCTTTACGTCTACTGCAGGAAATGTTGGTATCTGGGCTGTCCTCAACAACATCATCATCATTAGCTTTCAAATGTTTCACTGCTGCATTAGTTTGAGAAACTGGTGAACCACATTGTTCATTTTTGATGTCAGATATTTGTGTTGATGTTTGACTTCTGCGAATACCTCCATTAAACTCCTCCATATCACACAGATCAATCTTTTTCGGAAAACATCCAACAGATAATTTCGACTGCCTCAATTTGGTTCCATCTTTCTTTGCAGATATACTATTACAATCAACAAAATGGGTGGACTTCAATTGCCAGAAATCTGCTTTTTTCTTTGGTTTATCATCACTTGACTGAACTGTTTGTTGCAAACCATCTGTCAAAAGATCTTTATCTTTATTAGGTTCAATGACGGGTCGGGACACAGCATTGTTTCTTGAGCTAACTCTTCCAGGAGAAGGTGGAATACAAAATGAATTCTCCAAAGCATGTTTTTCCAATTCCACAAAATTATGTTGCATTTCATGATTATCTCTCTCAGGAGTTAACGCTGAAACACTTCTAACTGGAGTTTTCTTCATTTTACCCAACACAGGACTACTAGCAGATTTTATATCATTTTCTTTCTTTGGCGAACAATAAGTTTCAAAATCATTTTCTTTATCAATTTCCTCCAATGAACATACAAGTACATCATCCTCTGTGTCGTCTTGTTCATCAGAATCCTTTGGAACTGGACTAAGCCGATCTATTATTGGGTTTGCTTTTGAATTTTTTCTTAGATGAGAACGAAATGATAGAGGTTTTCTAAATGGACTTTTTTTCTTAAATAGTTTTCGAGTAGTTTTGACTTTCCTAGATTCTTCACGAGGAGCACTTGGTAAAGGATCACATCCAAGCATTTGAGAAACCAAGTTGTAAGCTTTTGTCACAGTACTTTGGTCACTATCTGTATCGCTGTCAGCATCCGACGGCAGACAGTCTTGTGTTTCAGGATCACCACGGGAGAGAATTTTAGCTAAACAAAAGCGAAAAGCATTACATTACAAAACATCCATACATATCAAACATTTAACTATGGTTCCTTCAATTTACATCACCCAAAGTGTTAAATGCAGTTTCCTTTCCTCAGGGAATTAATTACATTGTCTGGCATTCCTCTCTTATTTACTCTAAATAAATTGACACAACAAAACACATTTAGATGAATGGATAATTTTAGAAGTTTTCAGAAACTTCAATGCAGTCTCTACATCCAGTTGCAAAAATATGGTTTAAGTTTAAAAAGTATAGTTTTCTTTTGAAATCTTTGACTATGACATGCCTAACGTGAACTGAAACTTCAGTGTGCGTTCGCTGTTATTTTTGACCCAAATATTTCTACCAAAGTAGCCAACAAACTGCCCAACAATATTTTCCAGGTTATATATTTGGACTCAAATCCAAATGATCACACGACCAAGAAACCTTCCCTTTTCAATTTTCACAGGTTTGAAGCTCTCTGTTCAGGTAAAATTAAATTATCCAATTATCTTATTATTTTATGTCACTTGTACAAGGAATACACAACATACAATTTATTGGTGTTCTCTGGTGCAGGGTGACCAAAATCTAGAAATATAAATTTGCCTACAAAAGTCATGAAATTTCCAGAATATTTGGGTTATGGATTGCATTTCCTTTTATTTTTTTTAATTTTCATCTTACATGAAAAGTAAACATCCTACATACGAATTACTTGATTTTGTATTCAGTGGTTTACACCTTGCAAGTGACTGGCGTACAAAATTATAAAAACTGGGCCTTAATTATTACATATCAGAAAATGATAACATTAATTGAAGGTGGCTGGTAAAATCATGATTGAATCGTAGGAAGGAATGGTATTTCATTTTCATTTGTACTCTTAACATATTTCCTTGTGTAGAGAATTCATAGCATGCCCTACTTACAGAGGTTTTTCATGACATTACTTCTTGCATAAAAGCAAAAATTTTAATTCCCTGTATTATCAAAACATGATTTAGCTGCTTTTAGGGCTTTTCTAACCATGTTCGCAGTAAACTGACAAATTCTTGCTTAGGAAAGTAAAAGGTCCTACAGACCAAAATGCTACTCAAGCGAATGAATCGAATCTAATGTGAATGTGAACATACTAGTTTTAATTGCTCCACTCCTTTCCTTCCTCCCCAAAGCATGCGACTTAAGAGTTCATTTGCCATTTTTGGAACAAAATAATATCCAAGAGAAATTAACTCTTTAAATATATACTACAATTAATGTTGTAAATGTTTGTATATGCATTTACTTGGCACTGAAATAAAAACTGTACTCTGAAAGAGCATCAAGAAAGTGCATCATTTTTTAACGTGCAACGTGTGACTTGTGGACAAGAGAAAGGCAGTGAAGGAAGTGATAAAGTCAGTTTGCATAATATCATTACCACAAATCGAACTCTCCTCTGGGACACACATCCAAGTGTTTATCTGCAGTATCAGCTCAAATGAAATGTTTCCACCACACTGCATGACTTCTCACCCAAATGTCAATCAATAATGCATTATCAAAGCAGTAAATTTTCATTTTCTTCAATTTACTAACTAAAGTGCAAATCTGTTGGATGAGAGTAACAATGAAATTTTGCTTTAAACATAAAACATTATTGTAGATATATTTAAAAGCATCAAATTTATTTTTTAAATGCCATTATTTTATTTCTTTTTTTTATAGTTTAATATAAGCTGTTTAATTTAAATCACTTTTGCCTTTTTAGTAGTCCTGCATCTGAGCCACAAAACTTTACTTTCCATGCTGTAGGAAAGTAAGGGTGTGTATGCATGTATAAGTGTATGTAATTTATGTACCTATGATGAAAGTGTGCTTTCATGTTTTTATTTTACAAATTGTACTCCCATGTTGCAGATGGATTTGTTCACAATTTTACATCATTCTTAATATATTGCATATCCATGCCCATTTTCCTTTCCTCCTACTCATCATAAATATCAGAATATAGTTTTTCTTCCATCCTATTCTTTTACTCCTCCCTTCTAAATCTCTTTCTTACAAATCCTTTCCCTCTATATGTACAAATTTAACTACAATACCGGCAGCATACAATTGACTGCTGTTCTCACACCACCTGCTGAGGTACATCATGTGACCTTCTCTGATGCAATCAACTTGCAAGTATTAGTGTATTTTCTCACAACCAAGGTTCAGGGTTGCCACTCATCTGACTTGACACAGAACCAAGGAGGCGATAAGCTTTGGCTGTGACAAAGGTTATGAACATGATATCAAGATGTGTCATTGCCTGTTGGTAGGTGTTAAAGGTTTTGAGATTTCGTTTGTCTGTCATGTATGTGGTACCATGCGCATAGTAATGTATGGCAACAGCGTATTGAACAGTCGCTTATATGCTGCCAGTACTGTAATAATTCATGTTTCTCTAAACCATATAGTATGTTAACCTTTTTTTATTTGCCAATTTTCTATTTGTTATCACCATTAACACTGAATTTCCCCTTTCTTAATATGACAGTCCTGTCTCCAATCTTGTGCTATACAAATGCCATTTTTTCAAACTTTCCAGGCTTGCTGGCCACCCTGTTTAACAGCACCATTAATTTTTAGAAAACTGACTTAACTCCTTTTGCCTACAAATTAATTTTTAAACAATTTTTACCCAAAATTATCATTGTAAAAGTAGAAATACTCTGAAGACACACTTATTTTATACACGCATACAATGTAACTTTTGAAAATCAATGCATAACATAAATTAAACATTTCATTTTCTGAAAATGGATACAAAATTGTATATACAACTTCTTAATGATAAACATTTAAAATGGCATTAAAATTTAGGAAAATAGATTAGAGTCAATGAAATTCAGGTCTGGCAAGTTTAAAATTATTCTTTTACATCAGTACATCCACAACTTTTATTTTATTGCAATTTTTTTTGTTAAATTACAAAAGCCATTGATCCGTCACTGTAACTTAAATACTCAAAATAACCATGGATATTACTTCAAAAAAAAATATTTCACTGCAGCATAAAAATTGCAGATTTAGTTTTAATATATAATCGAAAAGGTAAAAGTTATATGGCACATGACATTATCATTTGTAACATTTAATGTTGAAACCACCACTGGCAAAAATGGGAATGTGGGGGTCAACATGGACCACTTCGAAATCAACTGAGCTAGGTTTATTCAAAATTTACAACTGTCAAAGGAAATTAAAGTGTAAATAGAACTACATAATGTAAAAAGGTCATTAATTGTTCACAATTATTTTTAACAGATTATAAGAAACACCAAATTATAAATAAAATACTCCCTGAGAAAATGAGTTCACTTTTTAAATACATTAATATCATTGCTGTAACATACCAATAGATTTGATTCTTGATTCGTTTACAACTTGTTTTTTCTTCATTACAGCAAGTTCTTTTTGAAGTGTTGAACATTTTGCACATTCTTTTACACTGAAAGAAAATAAATAAATATTGATTTTTTTCTCTATTGCAAAATATAATTCATAACAATAATTGCAATGTTTTTCCCTAAAGAACCTATTCACCAAACTATTCAGAAAATTAGAATTCATGACACTAAAAATAAATAAAGTATTTCAGAAACCACAAACAAGAAAACTTACTTTCTCAGCTCCTCTTCTTTATTTTCCAATTTCTGCTTCGTAGCATCCAAATCTAGTTTAGCAGCATTGAATGCAGTTACCATTGTCTGAATTCTTGGAATAATATCTAAAATGATTTTTAAAAAAGTTAACTTGCTATACTGAACAAATATTAATCACTAGGGAAAGGATTTTCAGGTGCAAATTACGGTCATAAAGGGGAGGGGAGTTTCTAAAAATTCAAACAAGAAGGTACAAAAAAAGATGCTGGTGAAACAATTGTATTAAGGTTTAAACCTTAATGTACTCAGTTTCTAGAAAACATGTGTCATTCTGCACCAAAATTTTCTTTTTTGTAGTCAGTAAGAAGTGATCCATAGTTCTTTATCCAACACAGTGGTAGAGAGAAAACTGTTAAACAATTGCCAGAACTGAGAGAACTTATTTTTCCCAAGGATCACGTAGTAGAACGTACTTCGCAGGCATGTCGAGTTGCGGCTGCATGAGCACTTGCCCATGTGAGAAAATGGTCTCTTGCGGGCACAGGTAACATCCCCTCCAAATCCACAAGCACAGACAGTGCTCTTTTAGTATTGATCGTGACACAATGGCATGGGTAAGCATTTTCTTCAAGTCACAGACAAGTGGATTTCTGTACACCCATTTAAGTGTACTAATTTGCCTTGCCACTTGAAATCCAGCGGAAAAGGGTTAAACTAGTGGTAACACTGTTGAAATTAAAATTTGACTTCACAACTGCAGATTGACCATTGTTACTTAGATATAAATTACTCATGGTTTACATAAAAGATATTTCAATATTTATTAAATATTGTTAACTTCCAATTAAATGAGATTTTAAAAATCTGTTCAAGATGAGAAAAAATACATTTTTCCATCCACTTGTTTAAAAACACAGAAAAAAGTGGAGAAAAGGTGCATTTAAAAAAGGAAAAAGGTGACAAAATGTAGTAATTTCACAAAATGATGCAACAAATTGTGTTCATTACGGTTTATTTCATCCCCCCCAAATACATAAATTAAACTATCTGTATGAAAACAGCTATATTTTTGAAAAGGTGCCGCACCTTTAAATCCTTTCCCCATTAATCACTAATGTATTTAGAATAATATTTATTAAAATTAAACAATAAAGCATGAAAGTGCTTCATGAATGTTAAAAAAACAGCCTGGATCTCAATATTTACACATTAATCTTATTTTCTTTAGTTGAATTACATGTGTTATTTTCTTGAATAGATTCTTTGTGGAAGTACTATAAAAGCTTATCTAATCAACAGTTTCATAGATAGAGAGGGTATGTTGCCCACTGAATGAATTGTGTGGTGTACGACATTGAATAGAGAGTCAGTCTGATGACTTGTTGTACACTTCGTTGTTGTTGTTGTTGTTGTTGTTGTTGTTGTTGTTGTTGTTGTTGTTGTTGTTGTTGTTTTTAATGTGTCTCAAGGTCATGCATGAAAAAGGACAAGGTAAGGCATACTTCAATACAGAGCTGCAACATCACTACTACTCCCACCTTCAAGGCTTCCAATTGGAATCTACCTTCCCTCTCCCTTTTTCGTTCATGACCTTGAGATGCCACATTAAAAAAATCAAAGTATAAGAATTATTTTTTGACTATCGCTTTTTTCCCTCATGAACTGTCCATGTAAATATCAGCTGAAAAACCAGCCAGTGTAAAGAACTTTCTTGCTATGGATGCTTATGAGGATAAAAGCAACTTGGATGACCTGTATCAATAAATAAACTTATCCTGCCTCATTAATCCTTGGCTAGAGTTACATTATTTGGATACACCACGCATGAAAACAACTCTCTTTTAAAAGGTAACAAACAGAATGATCATAGAAAGGAATGATGGAAATATAATTGAAGAAATATAATAAAAGAAAAGGAGACTGCAGCTGTTTTAACATTGTTCTGTATATTATTCGCATTTTTGTTGTTGTTTGTATTTTTAATAGGCTACATGTTAACAAAGAAAAGCTATTGCTTTCAAAAATGTACTTTATTTTTGGTTAGCACTGTCATTAACAATGGAAGTGTTGCCCCTCCTGAAACAGAAGGCTAGCTGCACACCTGTTAATCAACCTCTTCATCAAGAAAAAAACCCATAAAAATCATGAATCAATTGACAATCTGATCCATGACTGTCCCCAAAACTAGTTACAATCCACCAACAAATACAAAAAATGGTAGTAAAATGTGTTCAAAAACAATTTTAGTGTAGAGGCGTAACTGGTTTGGTACCACTAGGTGCAAAGTACCAGACCTCAAAGCCATGCGCCCTGAATGAGAACATCTGCCAACTCCCCAATGAAGATGGCAAGGACAATAGGGGCACTATTTGAACCCTTTAAACCAAGGCTCCCAAAGACATAGCCACATCTCCGTTTTGGTTACATGTTGACAAAATAAAATGTAACCTACATATAATATCTTCCCTTCTTTCATTTTGAAAAGTTGCTTACCTTTATTAAAATGAACATGAATTTGGCCAAGATGATACACAATTAATTTCCTGCAAGTTTGGAATCCATTCTATTATGAGAAATTTTACCCTTTTAAAATTATTTAAAAAAAAGAATGAATAAACAGATTTTATCCATTCTCCATACATCACTTTTCATAGTAGATTTTTTGTATAGAATGATGACCAATAACACAGTAGGGGGGAAAACATTAGTGAAGCTTGACCAGTCCACCAAAAGCAGATTATATTTGAATGATACCAATAACTAACCTCGTATTAGAAAAACACAGTAATTGCAAACATTCCTTTAAATTAAACACAAAATTACAAAAACATCCATTTTAGTATCTACATTCATATTATTAAATTTTAGTTTCCTTGATAATAATGAAGCATAGAAACCTAAAGTAAAATAAAATATCATACATGAAGATGCCAGACTTACAGCGTTTAAACTTCAGAATCACTTCTATATTAGAAGTAGTTATATCAATCAACATTTCATTAACACTGAAAGTATCGTCGTACGACTTATCGCAAAGTTCGCTGAAAATTCTTTGAACGTTCTCTAGTTTGGTTTCCATTTTAGAGTTCAAAAACTTCACTCTATGATGAAAAGTGCTATAAAAGCTCAATTTTCTTAATATAAGAACTTCAGTACTGCAACATTAAGCAAAATCCGGTATTTTGCTCAAATCCTTCTATTATATGCCACGCATATTTCATAATAGCTATGTCATCTACTCATGCCATCCAAACACTTCTTGCCTTTTATATGCAGCCTAATTATTTATTGTTCAAATCTGTCACAGAGAGCTTGCAAGAATCACGTTGCACATTTTGGCGCGAAAAGTAAGTCACCCCTCGTAGATACTACGAGCGCTAGTTGTCACACGTTGCATCTTTGAAAAACGAACAACTATAAGCGTCACCATCAACGAATCTCATATAAAGTATAATACTGGTGTTGGAAACTTCAGTGACACGAATATCCTTCATTTGATGTGTTGTAATTTGATATGTGAATAATGACACATTCCGTTTGGAGGGGAGGGACTTCGAAAAATTGGATTGAAACGTCACTTCTGGGCGCGAAATTCAAACTGTCTGTGGCGTCTGCAACGGCACTCTTATCATGTCTTCATCACGACCGACTTCAGAGAGTATATAACTTGACTCTACGAGTCGGCCGTGCCTTCATGTTTTGGGTGAAACGGAAACTGTCGAGTAGTTTTCAGTGAGGAAAGCATCACATAAACAACAGTTCTTTAAAAGTATCAAGTATTTTATGTAGACTATTCATTTAATCTATAAATCTTTTCACAATTCAGTTTTGTTAAAATTTACAACCATGGTATGCAAGAGCTTAATAGAAATCACTGAACACGAATCAAAAATAATGAAAATTAACAACACACCTAGAATTTATGAATTATTATTCTCTTCATACCATGCGCTTTATGTAGCCATGTAAATAATAGTCTCCTACATACGCTTTCTAAATATATAAACACACTAAAGTGAATTTTGCAGTTAAAATGTCAGTTTATGAAAATACACTTGAATAATGAACCCTCTGGAAATGAAATATATTAGCTACTAACCACATACATCAGTAGACACTATAGTGCCCACTGGAAATTAAAGTCAGAACCATTTGAGCGATAGGTATACGTGCATGACACAAACACTACCCATAAAATTAAGTAAGTTATGTTTGAATATAGACTTTTATTAAACTTATTTTTAATTGATTTCCATGAACTGCTTACGTTTTATTAAATATGTGATCTGAATTTTGGAAATTACATTTCTGTCGTTCGATAGAGCTGCAAGATCGTTGCAAAAACCATGGGGTAATTTTGAGGTTCCATCGTTCGATGTACCACTTCGTTGTTTCACGATGTCCAAGGAGTCCCATTTTCTTTCAAAATTTCACAATTATTTGCGTTTTTCTGAGATCTTATAGTATCTTTTCTTCATATCCACGAACCTGCCATTTTATAAAATATAGCCTGTAAGAAATGTGAAGAAGGGACTCGAAGAAACGAATTTGAGCGTGAAAGATCAGCATAAAAAGCCTCCTTGCGGCAAGATTTTTTTTAATACTCGTAATTTGCTTCAGATTGTTCATTTGTCTTGAAGATGCATCATAAATATTGAACTTTTGAGAGGACGCTTTAACATAAGTGAATTATGCACTTTTCCCTCATACATTTCAATAATTTGTGATATAGAGAGTTATCTGTACCCCCAACATTCAATTTTGTTGTTTGAAGCTTCTAAAATCTTCTAATGTTTTCTTCTAAACGAGCTATTTCTGCATTTGTCCTATGTGGTGTCACCTTCACAAATTCGAATGTGAGTTCAGGTGAATATCCGTATCGTCTCACTTTATACTGCATCTGGAATATTTCCAAGAACATTACGGGAAACATACTGCATTAGCATTTTTCTACTCCGTAAGTCTGATGCATAAGAGAGTTCACCCTCACGCAAGAGCTCGATAAGTGACTTCGAGTGATTGTACAAGCATATGAAAAAAATCGATTTTTTTCGGAAAGGGGCATATTCGGGCAAAACTGTTTTCCACCATTTTGTTTCAGAAGGTTTAGAAAATACAATCGTGCAAAGACCACTCTTGGCAATTGCTGGCAACTCAAGATAACTCAGTTTAAATTTCCGATCACTAAGAAACCTGACTCAAATACATAGTACTCGTAATACTTTCGCATACAAAATACAACCAAAAATGTAAAATTTTCTATTAAACGATAGAGCAATCTAAAGATCATACCTTCCGGATTCTCGTCCGTATCGAACAATCAAGTTATCCTTAACAATTCAGAAGAAGTGGGCAATAACACCAAGCGCGTCAAAGCAGAACTTAGGCACGGCTGCGTGCGCGGCTCGGAAGCGCTCGCTGCACAACCCCCCCCCCCCATTACTCTGAGAAATGAAAGGTGCCCTCATGGGGACTGGTATAGTCCTAGCAAGACTATTAGAAACCCGCCCTCGTGGGCTTTCACTCGTTTCGAGCTTATGCATTTTGCTATTTAAATACCGCTAGATTCTGGAAATCAACCACTGTGCGTCGACCCTTCAACGTGGCGCTCAATCCTCTGTGTTTAGTCTTAAAACATAGAACAGGTTTACGGAAAGACTGTTACTTCTATGATTAAGAAACTATTACTTGAATACAGGAGTAGGCATTTCTCATTTTCATTAACATTTTGACTCGACAGCTTATTCACCCTTTTCAAATAAATTACTATTTTGATTCATTATATTTTACATTTATATATTACATTTTTTTAAATATATTTTTCCTTATGAGAATTTTTACTTCGCATGGTTCCACATAGGCTTTGGTGGCTCAAGGCATCAACTGATGTCACTGCAGTGCCTCTGAGCGAGAGGTCCCATGTTCGAGTCCCGTCGAGTCGTAGGTCGAATTTCTGTTCCACTTCCTGTTCCGGAAAAGAACGAAAAAAGAATCGTTAAATGCGAGTCATAGACCCCAATATTAAACTTTATAGTTTTCATTTGAATTCATATGATGAATGATCCTCACGCGAATTGGCAAATATTTCAGAAGATGATGAGTGGAGTAATATGAACGAGGAAGAGATGGCAGACGATGACTTTAATGAAGATGGCGAAGACTCCTTCGACCACAATAAAGGATAATCTGTGACGACGTTGATAATTAAACAAATTCTTAACAGTCATGAAAGAGCGGGTCGATGTAGAAATGGAACAACTGGAAGACAACGACATTGGCGATAATGTCTGAGACAGATAGAGTTGCAGGTTTTAAATAAAAACATTCACATACATACAAACACTATTGTCCAGGACTCAAGAAAGTTGACAGGATTTTACAAAATGTGTCTCAAGCCTCTTCTACTTTTTCATTTTTATTAATTGCTTTCTTTTCTTCTTATTTTTTAGACATTTTGTTTCTCTTAATACTTATCAACCGGGTGTCTCCAGACGCATGTACGCGATCCATGCCCTATTATTTTCTATTGCGCGAAATGCCACAGCGACCCACGATCATTTGCTTGGCGCCTACAGAAAGCCCTTGCTCCACCAACACTGTTTCTGGCCACACACCAATACGTGGAAGTCGTCGTCGCACCGCTTGTCACGCGGAGTAAGAAAGAGAAGGCCGTGTCACACGTCTCTGGAGAATAGTTGAAGACAATTTCCATACGTACCACTGAGCTAAAATACAGCGAAAATCAGGATTCCCAGACGTAACTAAAAGGCTGAGAACAGAACGGGCTGTTACTTCTTAGATACATTTTAGACGTTTCTACAATTTCTTCATGTGTTTCTCATTTACCTTTTTCCTACACTTTTACCGTTTTAATTTTTTTTTCTGGACGTTTTCTTGGGAAGGGGGGATCTGGCACTGCGATTACGTCAGTAACATATCCAACAGCTTGAATTACGCATCTGAAGTTTTGATAAAAAATTTTCCTTTTTTTGAAACCTTTTAAGAGAATTTTATTGATAATTTTTGGCGATGTTTTAGATCATCAAAATTCGCCCCTTAGTTATATTTCCCCGTCCTAAGGATACTACATAAATGCTAGACTGCAAGTCGGGTGTGATCGGTACATTAAGATATTCTTTTATTCAAAATGTTTTTGTCGAATGTGTCTTATTACAGAATATGTAGAATAAGGCAGGCTAAACTCGGCTCATGCTGCGAAACGATTTTATTCGTTTTAATGTTTATCCAAAAATATTTTCACGAAGTATAGAGAAAGTTAATACTGCGAGAAAAAAAGCGAATTTTCGGCAGAAAAACTCTTATTACAGGGCTCTGGTAACGAAAAAGTGGATACATCCAGTTTCTAAAGTTAGAAGGCTCAACCGTTCAGCCGATTTTCTTCAAAATTGATATTCCCAATTGATCTTTTTCAACATTTTGGGACATTTTTCAACAAAAAACAGGCTTCATTGTTTTTTTCTCTCTTTTTTGTTAGTGTAAAGGACTTTTACGTGAATAGTGCAAGTCTCATGCTCATTGAAAACCTCGTTTTTTGGATAATTGCAAAAGTTCGAAATATTTTCAGTCTTCCTACAACTAAAATATTAAAGATGGAGATTTCTTCGCTTAATGAAATCTCTTCCTTAAAGATAAGATTTGAAATAAGGTCATGAACAATTTTTCGAAAATTTGAGTACTTTTCGAAGAGATGGCGGTCGGCGACTATGGCGATAAAGCAGATGCTGACAAATTTGTCTGAGACAATTAAGTACCTATCGTCGCTAAAAAATTAAACCCTGCAAATTATCGGCTATCCAGGAGACGCTGCGTCGTTGGCTGAGAGGCCGACGTTTCACCTGACACGTCGCAGGCTTCCTCAGGGCAGTGAGGAAGCCAGCGACATGTCAGGCGAAACGTCGGCCTCCCAGCCAACGACGCGGCGTCTCCCGGATAGCCGAGAATTTATGGATTCGAGCCGCGGAAGCTTTGGTGTACAACCAAATTAAACTCTCTCGAATTCGCATGGAAGGACGCGTGAAGGGAACTCTGTAGCGAGGTTTTAACCACAAATCTTTGAATATATGACAATCCAAACATGAATTGATAAAAATTTTGTTCTAAGAGGATGAGATTAATACAAAATATGATGCAATATGTCTGAAGTAGAAATGGGAAATGTTAACACAATGAGTGGGAGGTGAATAGGGCGCTAATAATAATTGACACTGGCACTGAAATTTATCTGATCATGCACAATGGAACTATGCAGAATTTTGTGCCCAAGGAAGATAAAACAAATAATCCATGGTGAAGTTGAAACAGAGGATACACTTTATATAGAAATATCCTAAACATTAACAAATGATCACTGACAAATACCGTGCTTGTGTACTAATATAAATCATACGAATGGATGTTATACTCCAGGGTCATCAAACAATGTAAACGAAAATGCTTCAAAAGAAAAATATTCCAGGGACAAGTACAAAAACGTTTGTATTAAATAATTTTTGCTCAATAAATTGATGTTTTCTGAAAGGGAAAATGTATGTGTTATTTTCTTTCATTTTTACAGAGAATAAGGAAAAGAAAATATGGAAATAGAGAAGACGGAAAGAGAAAAGGGAAAAAAAAACATGGGAAGAGAAAAGGGGGACAGGAAGGGAGGAAGAGAAAAAGCATAAGAGGAAGTGGGAAATATAAAAGGGGAGAGAAAAGGGAGAAGAGAAAAGGAAGAAAGAGAGAAAGGGGGAAAAAAGTGGTAAGAGGAGTATATACAAAATGGGAAAGTAAGAGAGTAAGAGAGAAGATAAAAAAGCAAAGAGAATAGAAAGAGGGAGAAAAGGGGAAAAGAAAAATGGGGGAAGAGTAATACAGGAAAGAGAAAAGGAGAGAAAAAGAAAAAAGGAAGAAAAAGAGAATAGAGGGAAAGAAAAGGGGAAAGAAGCAAGGGAAAACAGAATGACGGTGGGATGTGAAGAGTGGAAATCTGCTAGACAACAGTTATCTGATTAAGATAGAGGAGGGGGCAAAGGCGAAACAAAAATTACAAGAACATCAATGTAGTTCCATAATCACCAATCTGGTGACACATTTTTATAAAATATAAAATATACATATAATTTTCTCTCCTGTGTGAATGCTCTATTGCAATGTTTCACTGAACAGGTAAGTGGAACACATAACACATGTCATCAGCACTGTTTTTAGCAAGGGAAATTTAACAAAACATTAATAACCTCACGTCAACAATTCTGACACCCAATCTAATGGTTTCTTTTGAATTTTGAGTAGATGTTGTTCAGTATCAGCGGCCATGGATGTCGTGACCGTGGACTCATGTTTGCTCATTAATTCTCGCTTTATATTTTCTAATCTTCTTTCTGAAGTCTGGTCTTCCTTTTCTTCTTTATCAGAATCATCATTGTAGTCCATCTCTTCGTCATCTTCATCTGATAATTCTCGATGAGAATTTGGGTCATCTCTCCTGAAAGAAACGCAGGAGATAAATTAATGGTTTCAAATTTTAGACTCCAATGTACTTATATTCTTGCACAGTGCAGGAAATTTTATCATAATAGAATTTCAAGAAATCAACAGGACATTATTATCCTGCTACATGTAGGCATCAATGAATCAAGATTAACACAATTGTGAAATTGTCACTAAAATACACAAATATATAGTTTTGGGAGGTAGAAGAGATTGCTTTACTACCTTTTATTTGTGCCAGTGATGAAGGACAACAGCAATGAATGGCTCACCAGCGACAAAGGAGGCATGGAGTGTGCCGGAGACTTAAGTAACTGAAAACAAAACATATCATTAAGATTACAATTTAACTATTGATTCATTCAAAAGTATCTAAAGAAAAAATAGGACATTGGGAATATTACACATTCTTTGATTTAAGAAATGTCCAACACATATCTTTGTGAAATATGTTGTGTTCTTTACTTTGGTATTGGATATATGAAACTATCTCTGCTTATTGATAAATAGGGATCAGAACTTATTGTAACAGAAAATGCAACGCATGTATATAAATACCACTTTTCCCCCCAAAAAAGAATGATTTTATGAACACCCTCTTTGATTGAAGTAGATTTGCTTTCTGTGACCTATTATGTATAAACCCCAGGAAAAATCTTCATAAAGTTACAGTGGATTGTTTCGGTGAGTTAATAAAAACCCTTTTTCTCGAGATTTAATCATATTAGATTTATTGTTAAATTAATGCTTAAACTAGTGAAATTAATTCTAGAACTTTAATCTGGTATGTTATGCTTGTTTCCTGTATCGAAACAAAACAAGAAAAATTATCTTAACGAAATAAGATAATTTTCGTGGCTATATAGTAAAAAAACGGACAAGATTTATAAAAACTCTCTATATCTCCAGTCTCTGTAAATAAAAAAATGTGAATATGTAAGTTGCGCCTAATATCCGAATCTGACTAAAACTCGTATAATGTACGATGTTAATGTACCTAATAACCAAAATCGCTGAATAAATTCCAAAGTAGTGAGCTCGGAAGCATTATGCATGATGAATCCACGTCGAGATTCGCAACTCAGGTCCTCCGAGTCAACAGACCGAGCACGTTACTGCTACACCACACACAGTGGCTCGATGATGCACGTTTTCCGGACGCGTAAAAACCTGAGGCCTCTCCCATTCCTTCTTACTTGCACAATTTTTGAAAATTGTGTGTCCCACGACATCGAGCGCTGCACCATTTAATGCAGCAAACACCTCATCTGACGCTTCGCTACGCATGCACGCGTTGGCGATGAGGTTCGGCTCTCGGAAGTATGCATTATTCGGACTAACGTTCGAAACGACCCCCTTATCATTCTTAGAGCGTTATCCAAACCGACAAGGTGTAGGTGGGGAATTCGAAGAACATTTGGTTGGTGCAGTAATATAGTGGTCAAGGGGTTAAAATGTGCACTCCTTTTTCCATTTGCGTACGCCCTACTTGGAATAAACCAAAGTGATTTTCTTATTGGAGGAAATTATTCTTCGATTCATCTCGAGTGGTGCTTCGTTGGCGAATGACGCGAACGAAGCCCCAAAATCGTGGCGTACGGAAGTCCTGGAGTGAGTGAGTGAACATTAATTCTGGGCGCATCAATTATTCAGGTCATTAGTCCCGTAAGTGCAACGCGTGTTACATCGAGGAAGTGCTGCATCCCTGTCTCTTCCTGCTGGAATGTGCGATCCAGAGTGACGTACACGCCGGCTAGCGGATTTCCTCCCGGTACATTGTGCAGCGGGACACGCTCTAACCTCCCGCCTGGACTCCAGACATGAGCGGTAGTGCAGTTCGTGTAAAGGTAAGAGTGCGAGCGCAAGGGCAGAAGGGGACAACTATTAAGGGACGATCGCGCTTGCGCCGTAGCTCGTTGATAAATTGAAAGAAGAAAAGAAAAAAGAAAAAAAAACACACGAAAAACCATCGCTCAAAGCAGGCGGCGGCAGATCCCGCGCCCGGAGCGGCGTGGCGAGAGGGCCCACGCGCCGATGCCGTTAAATGGTCAATGCGCGCGCCGGCTCTGCTGCCGCGTGGTTCGGCGTCGCGGTTCGTTGACACGAATGAGGCCGAACTTTGACCCGCTTGGCCACGTGGAGGCGCGGCGTAACCTCCTTCGCGCCGCCGCCACGTGCCGCTGTGGGCTGCGCGCTCGCTCCGGAGGGCAGAACCCCTCCTCGGGAGGGCAGGACGGGATCGGGGCGCAAGAGCCCAACTTCAACCGACAGACACCACCGCCATTCATTAGAGTTCTTGCGCCGCATTTAGTTCCTTAATGTACACGCCATAAAACCACTTCGGGGCGTCTGCGCACGCGCTAAACGACAGCGGAAAACGCTGTTTAGACCAGAATCAGCCAGGGTAATTACGTGACTTCTATCACACACAAACAGTAACGTGATCACGGTAACTGGCACTTGTCCCCAACTGTGGCGACAGTCAGCTGCTGAGTACACCCTTCATCGGAATACATTAATTATATTTATCTAGCAATATATTAATTTCATTAAATAGAGAAATCATTTGTTCGTGGGCAGCTCCAGCCGAACACATGCGACACAAGAGGATGTGGCAATGTGGCATTTTAGCGCCGAGACTGTTGCCACTGACAGTTTGGAACTACTTCCGTTTAGAAGGAAATCGTCACACGCTTTACACACTAAGGGCCACATAGGTGTCTCGCGATATTTTTTGCTACGCTAAGAAACCGGCAGTGACTGTGGCGGATGGCCATTGATGAGGGAGCATAATAGCTAGCTCCTACACCTTGGGGTCCGCGTTTGATTCCCGGTGAAATCACGTGATACTGGAGGCAGGTTCTCTCAGAGTTCTCACGTTTACTCTGACCGTCATTCCACGATTTCTAGATCATTCACAATCCTAAAATCGCTATGTGATCTAATGACTGCATGCATCCGACTTGGCGACGAAGGTACGGGTATCAGACTCCGTGATAAACCTTGAGTCTGCATGCAACGCACACTTTCCAGAGCATTTATATATGCCCCAATGTGAGTAGTTCCTCTGAACACACCCCTCAAACTAGCGCAACTTACCTAAGACTAAGCCAGATCTCAGTGGCTCATACCAACATTCGCTAATGGGGGATGAGTGAAGTTCGAAATGATCTATTGATACATCTTCATCCACATCGTCTGGCTAATGTGAAAGAATGAAAGATGAATTAATGGGAGGTCAGTCGGCCCGTTAACAGAGAATTGCGTCCCTTTTAATAACAGCACCGTAAGTAAATAGCGAGCACGTGCAAATACGCGTGCCAGTGCACTTGCTAGGCACGTTCACTCCCGGGTTATGGCAGATAGCAGGATCTGCTTGAGATACGAGCGGGAGAAATAAGGGAATGTGCCATAAGCCGAGTCAACGTCTGCGACAGTGTTTGGCGTTTAGAACACAGTCTGGCGCCGTGCACTCAAGTAACCATCTTTTCAAAAGGTGGTTAATAGGCGTTTTCCTCGCTGTCACGCATAATTAAAAATTCACATTTTCATCTTAATGTCAACGCTCCACCGATGAGGATAACCTGAATGGGTTTAGATCCATTGAAAGTTGAAAATACTTTTCCATTTAAAATTTATTTACGCTAATTATCGTTTTCAGGCACATGATTCCTTGCGTTTGAATCCTGAATCATTCATAGTTTCCTCATTACCAATGTAAAGGACCGAAAGAGTACTGACATAAAAACCTCACGCAGGAATGGTTTACCGCTTATGATTTCACGTGGCATTACCTCCTACCATCCATCACAATTTGAAGCGAAGCGAAATGAAATGCAAGAAGGTATCTCATCCTTCTTCATTATACATTTGCCAATGGCACATGCTACCGCCTGGATGTGAAACTCGACCATGTGAGAAGTATATGAGGGTGGCAGTGAAAAATAAGAATAGCAAGCTCTGAAATTTCCGTACGTAAATGGTAATAACACAAATTGTAATAATGCGATAAATAATATTCAATAATTACAAAAAGAATTGTCGTAAGTATGCTAAAAAAACCATGGAAGTGTAAAGTATTGAATGAAAAGACAAAAGATTTGTGGGTGATCGGTTAAGGAACATCTCATGGTCCCACGAGAAGAAACAACAGAGTTTTGAATTGAACTGAATTGAAGAGGTAAACGTAACTGACATTTTACAAATTATTTATAGCCATACTAACAAAAAAGGAATGTGGCTCATGAAACTACAAGAATGTGTGTAAGCAATCGTGCAAGTATGAGGGGTGTGGCACAAGTCATTGTAACTATTCTTTGTAACTCTGTTCTTTTTACAGAAATGTTATCACATATTATTTGTCGCATTCACGTCAGATGAAAATGTGATTGTAATAGGATAGAGAGCAAAGTGACATCAGTTGTCTGGCTACCGTCGTGCAAGATAGCTGTAACTCGTATTAATGAACGCGCGTATACCAAAGTAGCCGCTCTCCATGGAAGAAATGTCAAAGATTGACACAGATGGAATAAAGAATAGATCGGAATGAGGCAATTAATGAGGCATCAGGCAGAAACTTCCAAATCTTCTGCACAGAACAATCGTACTCGACGACAACGCGACGCCACATAAAGCAGGATGTGCAGAGCTGCTACTGCAACGCGGCGGGTGGGGAGAATTGGATCGTTCACTCACTCTCTGGACCTTTAGCCATGACTCTGACATCAGGCAAACTGTAAATGAACCATTAACCGGAATGGTGTGCAAGAAAAGATGACCAGATTCACATGTGGTAAGCAAAATGGTGAAATAGATGGTAATCAGCGTCTTCCACATTGTAAACAGCGTCTTGTGAACAAAATAGTGGACTTCCATGAGGGCCTTTAAAACGGGTTTATAAGCAGTAAGGATTCTGAAATATTAAACGAGTACCGTTTACTTTATCGATCGATTGATTGATTGATTGATTGGTTGGTGATTCCGACTTATGTCACTAAAGACGACACAAATCGGTCGTGTTGTCAACAAATCACGCATATATCAACAATGCTAAATCATGATCGCTTTTCTCAACTTCGAACTCGCAAATCCTAAACTGAACATCTCCGCGTACCGTATTAGTGTTCAGGGAAGCCCTGTTTTCGCAACCAATCCAGTCCAGCCCGCTTGGCTGGTGGTGAGCGCGGGATACCCACTGTGGATGGACCAACGCGACGCCCCGTCTCGTTAGGCGGTCGAGGAAGTTTCCACATGGGGATGTCAGACCTGAAGATGAGCTCCAGATTGTCCCATTGGATCGGTCACGCAACCACTC